TGACAGTCTGGCCCCTCTGCTGTAGGTCTGCTGAGGTTCACTCCAGGCCCTGCTTGCCTGGGGTTCACCTGCAGCAGCTGCTGAACAGTAAGGGTTGTTACCAGTTTTCTTCTTCTGCTATCTTTGTCCCAGAAGGATACCCGCCTGGTGTCAATCTGATCTCTCCTTTCTGAGGTGTCTCTTTGGATATATAGGGGTCAGGGAGCTGCTTGAGGAGACGGTCTCTTCTTTATAGGAGCTCAAATGGTGAGCTGTAAGCTCTGTTGTTCATTCAGAGCTGCTGGGCAGGTACGTTTAGGTCTGCTGCAGCAGAACTCAAACTGCTTTTTGTTCCCAGGTGCTCTGTCCCAGGGATTTAGGGCTTTATTTGTGAGTTTCCGTTATGCTGCTGCCTTCTTTTTTTTTTTCCTTCAGACCTGCCCTGCCCAGCAAGGAGGCAGCCTAGTCACTGTCTGCCTGTAAAGGCTTTGCTGAGCTGCTGTGGGCTCCGCCCAGCTGCCAAGTGAACTTCCTTGCAGTCCTGTTTATATGGGTGTAGTTAGAGCTGCTTTGGCGATGGTGGCCCGCCTCTGTTAAGGCGGAGTCTCTCTGCTGTGGCGGGATTCCTTGGCAACGGCGGGCTGCCTCAGCAATGGCAGGTTGCCTTGGCAAAGGCGGGCTGCCTCAGGATTGGCCGACTACCTCCGTCGTGGCAGGCTGCCTTGGTAATGGTGGACGCCCCTCCCCCACAGAGCTGGACCGTCCCGGGTTCAGCTGCGCTTGCTGTGAAACTCTCAATCCAGAGTTTCTGGTTGCTGTTCTTTTGTGGGGTGGGACCAGCCGAGCCTGATCGCCTGGCTCCCTGCCTCAGAGCCTTTTTTAAGTTTGTGTTCCAGTCGCCTGTTGAGGCGCCGGGGTCTGTTTGTTTTCCCCTGCGGCCACTCACTGCGCTGGCTTAAACAGTGGCACTGAGTTTTGTGGTGCTGTTTTTTTTTTGCCCTGGAATCTACTGTCCTGGTTCCCTGCTCAGTCCCCTTTTTAAACAGACGAATGGGCGACTTCCCGTGGCTCCAATCGCCAGCCAAAAGGGCACCCGGACCAGTGTATTTTGTACGGAGAACCGCAGCTCCGGGGCGCCCACAAAGCAGCTGCGAGGGGCAAAGCAGCGGCGTTGGCCCAAACAGCCCCGCTGGCGACCGTGGAGCTCCTCCGCCTGGGAATTGCCTAGTCTGTGGGCAATAAAAATGCGGCATCCACTCACCCTCTGCGCTTTCACTGGGAGCTGCAATCCTGAGCTGTTCCTAAATGGCCATCTTGGATCGAACCCCAATTTCAGGGTCTTATATTCTCTATCTAAAAGACAAATGGGCCAGGTGTGGTGGCTCATACCTATAATCCCAGCAGTCTGGGAGGCCAAGGTGGGCAGATCACATGAAGCCAGGAGTATGAGACGAGCCTGGGCAACACAGTGAGACTTTGCCTCTGTGCCTCTACCAAAAACAAACAAAAAAGTAAGCTGAGTGTGGTGGCACACACTTGTAGTCCAAGCTGCTCAGGAGGCTGAGGCAGGAAGATTGCCTAGAAGTTAACGGGCTTCAGAGAGCCCGTCTCTAAGAAAAGAATCTCATTTGCTCAAGAACAATACAAAGATCGAAAGATACACAAAAAACACTTCAATATATTATTATAAATGTGAGGTGATCAGGCAGACCTGGTTTGAATTATACTGGTAAGTAAACAAAATGAAAAAGATTTTTGCCTCGGCCGCCCTGCAGGCCGGTGGCTGCACCACGCTGGGTCCCGCGCTGTTGCGGGCGGCCTCCTGAGGAGCCGGGCGCCTCGGGGGAGCGCTGGGGCGAGCCGTCCACTGAGCGTGTCAGCGCGGGCGCAGAGCAGCTCAGAAGATGAAAATAACAGTCCACTTTGTAAACCGTGATGGTGAAACATTAACAACCAAAGGAAAAGTTGGTGATTATCTCCTAGATGTTGTGGTTGAAAATAATCTAGATATTGATGGCTTTGGTGCATGTGAGGGAACCCTGGCTTGTTCAACTTGTCACCTCATCTTTGAAGATCACATATTTGAGAAGTTAGATGCAATCACTGATGAGGAGAATGACATGCTCGATCTGGCATATGGACTAACAGACAGATCACGGTTGGGCTGCCAAATCTGCTTGACAAAATCTATGGACAATATGACTGTTCGAGTGCCTGGAACAGTGGCTGATGCCAGACAATCCATTGATGTTGGCAAGACCTCCTGAACTAGAACAAATAGGAATATTTTCATGGAATTTTACCTATTTTTATAATTATTATTTCTTAATATCATTAAATGAGAACATGGATGAGTGGACTTTGTATTATGACTAGCTTTACTATTTTAATTCACCTCATGTAACTACTGAATTTTGTAGTTCTTGAAAGTATGCAATTTTTATTTTGATTATATTACAAAAATGTCAATCAAGTATTAGAAAATAGTTAATATGATAAAAAAAACTGACATTTTTTTCCTTATGTTTGTTTAGTGACTTTAGCAAAATGTTTTCATATAATCTCATCTGTTTACCTAGAAGATAGGTTAAGAAAAAGATATTACTCTTGTTTGATGTGGGTGAAGGCAGAGATCTAACGGGCTATACTACTAATTAGAAAATCTGTACTAGAACCTGTGTCTTATTACTATTAAGTTATATGTTCAGACTGAAACTGGAGAAATTATGACCATCTTATTTATAGCAGTAGTTAAATATGATTGTATATGGACAAAAATATTTAATTGCTCAGTTAACTGCTTAACTTCAAAGATAGTTATTAACCTTATAAATAAATATTTCCAAATTTTGAAAAAAAAAGATTATTAAAAACTACCTTAAAAAATCTAGAATATATACAAATATAGAAACTCAAACTCACTGTGTCAGCTCAAGTGTAGCTTTTCTGGAGAACGCCCAGGCTATTTTTTCATCTTTATCTTTAGGGATGTCATTTTTATCCTCGTAAGCCAAGAAATAGAGTGAAAACTTCATAGAAGGAAAATCACATTTTTGGATTAGCCTGCAATGAAAAAAAAAACCAAAAAAATCCTGAATCATTAACAACAGGAAAGGCTTACTCATACTAAAATCAACATAACTTAATATTCAAGTTTTACTAAAAAGAAGAGCTATCTGTAGTAAGCCTATTTTAATGGGATAAGCAAGAGAAAAAAAAATCAGTGAAAAAATATCATTTAAAAAATATATCTGTAAATGTTTGAAATAAAAAAACTAAAAACTGCTGTAATTCATAAATTCTTTAAATATAATAAAATTTAGCTGAAATTATGGTACTTGTTTATATATAGAAACAGCTATCTCCAAACGAGAATTTTGTTTACTTGTAGTGAAAAAATATAAAGGACCTTGTCATTTCATATACATACACACATACAAACACACTTATAAATATGTCACTCAGTTAAATAAACACATTTATTGAGTTCTTACTATGCTAAAACATCTAGGAAAGGAAGTTAAGGATAGGTGGTAAGAAAGCAGGAAGAAGGACAGACCAATATTATAGAAGACGTGAATGTCAATGGTAAGGTGGCTAACGGTATCAGAGACTACAGAAAGGTCAAACAGTATTAAGCCTGAGAAAAGGTCATGAGATATGGAAAGGTCCCATGAGAGCAATGTCAGCAGCATGGGGAAGCATAAGCTGGCCTGTGCTGCACTGGGGAGAGAGAACGGCAGGTGAGCATGTAAAACAGCAGCAAGCATGGTCGGTGACAGTGGGGAGATGGGCAAGGGAGCAGAGTGCAAGAAATATTCCAGAACAGAGAAGACTCAAGCTTCTCTGAGGGGAAAGAGACTGTGGAAAAGAAGAAACTGATATGAGAGAAAAAGTGAATGAATTATGAATTCTGAGGTTTTAAAAAGATAACTGAAGTAATTAACTTTGACTTTAAATGGTGTAGGATTATTCTGCAATGAGCAAGGTGGAATGAGAATGCATATAATATGATTTTCTTTAGATTATTCAGGATTAAATGCTCAAAGATGACCTTGTTCATAATCAATAAGAGCAAATGGCTGAAGCATATAACAAATGGAAAGTTTCTAGAGTTCTGTTTCAAATCTTTTATTTCATGATCACTGCTATATAATATGTCTTGGCCCACTTAGATCCATGCACTGACTTATCACAAATAAGATTTACTCTAATAAACACCTCAAATACTCCAATCATGAAAAACAATCTCTGCATCTACTAAAGCAGACTACACAACCTTTATGGACCAATCGGGTGGGACTGAAGGAAGCGGAACTGTTGCAACTGGCTATTCTCAGCTGTGCCTATTTTCCAGTTTACTGTCAACCTGTACCCTATTTGGGGACCTGAACACAAAGTCAACATTACAGCGGATCAGACAATGAATGGAAAAAAATCACAAGAAACTGAACAGCAGTTAGCTCTGAGAGAAGAACTTGGGGAGGGAAGCCATCACTTTTCATTTTGTGTTTTCCTGAACTGGTCAAATTTTCTCAATATTGACATATATTACTTAAATCTTTCTCTCAATGTGAAGCAAGTTATCTAGGCACTAAATTTGAAGATTATTTTATTATTCATGTATCTATATGATCAAAAACAAACAAAATGCTCATATAATTTAGGGAAACGAATCAACAATATAACATTATTTCTCAATATATCTCAATAAAGCTGGAGAAAAAAAGGAAAACAAACAAATAAATATGCTTTAAGATTGTAAGATCAGTGGATATTAACTGTTCAGCAGAAGAAAACACAGCCTAGAAAAATGGAACAGATGGTCACTTTTTAAGTAAACTCATTCGTTTTCTGAGTAATAAGTCCTTATTATCCATAACTTTTCTGAAGTAAACAAGAGGCTAAAAGTGGCCAGAACATCGAAAGGGGTCTAAACATGTTAAGGATTTAGCTGGGAGCTCTCAGAGAGAAGGGAGATTGGAGAAAATCCAAGTATTTGTGTCTTGTTTTGCCCTTTGAGGCTGGCTGGGATAGACAAGAAAAATAACTTAAGGGATAAGCCCTGCCTCGTCAGGCCTCATCACAGACTCCTGGCCAAAAGAACTTTTGCTAGTTCTGAAACAAACTTTAAGATGTGTCTGAAAACATTCTCTACATTTGCAAAGCTATACATTTAAACACTCTGGTGCCAATAAGTACTTTACTTACGTCATTCCAAGAACTCTAGTATAAAAATCCAGTGACTTCTTAGGATCCTTAACTCGTAGCATGGTCTGCTGCAATAGGAAATCCTAAAGAAAAATATTTAAACATCTTTAACTTTTACCATGTATTACCAACATTAATTGTGCTTTCTGTAACAAGATACACAAACAGTCCACCATTACAACCCAGTTGTTAACCTACCGTCTGCAACTTGGTAAGGCTCTCTGCCAAGCGGTGTTTTCTGGTTGGAGGCCCCTGTGTGGGGCAAGTCCAAAGTGTCAGAAAGTTTCCACCCCAGGAGATCTTCAACCGATGGTGGATAAAAAACCTAGCATCCTTGTCCCTTGGTGGGACAATGTGGAGGCAAGTACCACAAAGTCCCTCAGAGAATCTCCAGCAGGATTGAACCTCAGTTGCCCACAGTGGTAACCCACTTGTGTACACCTATTACCACCCTCTCTCCCCAACTCCACAGAGCTCTCTGTGACCACCTCTCGCATAAACTACTTAAAACCACACCTATCTCTCTAGTCTGCTTTGGAGCTACCCAAACTAAGACACTGATTTTACACATAAACAGTTTGTTCACTGTAATATTTGTCGAATGAAGGCATAAATGCCCTTTCAGAGCCATTTACTGGTAACCATGCAAATTAGCAAAGAGTTACTCACAAGATCCTAGACTCCTAAACAACTAAAAGGGTAAAAAGTTACTGTTGCTAACACCTTTGGGAAACTGTTTAACTAACTTATCAGGAAACAGAGGGCTTGACTGAGAAAAGGGTAGAAGGTATGTAAAGGGGTTAAGGTTATCAATAGCATTAATAATCCTACTTAGGACTTAACTAGGTACAATAACTCTGTGAGGTATTACTATCGATAGATATTTGTACCCTATTTTACAGATGAGAAGCTGACACTGAGTAATTAACTGTCCAAGGCCTCTAAGTTTTGGTTTCCCTTTACTGTTGGTATGTACCTTCCAGACCATGAGTCTGTGAACCTCACTGGTGCTTCCTGATTTTTTTTCTGTTATACCCATGGCTTGACAAAACAGGCCTGAAAATTCTGACCACTTTGTTTGCAGCCACATGGCATCTTTCTCCTATATAACTTATATCATATAAAATACAAAATGTAATTCATTGAGCATCATTAGGAAATTACATTTTTCCCTTTTACTAAATTTTAAATAACTGAAATATATTCTTAAGCATTAAAATTCTCACTTAAAACTAGCCTAAAAACTATCTTATTAAAACTGATCTTAGTGAATATAATAATTAAATTCTTTATTCACAGATTATCATCACATACCAGGCGGGTTACATGTTTCTAGAACATTTGGGTTGTTTTTCTCAGTCAGATGCTATAGTCCTAAAGATCTCAGTTTTATCAAGCAGCTGAGAAAGAGAAAAGTAACTCTGTATATCCAGGTGCTGGCCTGATACTCCCAGCTGGGCCTTGATTTTTTCCTGTTGAACGTACAGAAAAGTCACTCTGTGGCTGCCATGAGGTGATACCAAAATTAAAAAAAAAGCTTAAAGCAGCAAGACCACGTCCACTTCACATTCTGGTCTAAGCATATATTAAAACAAGGCACTGTGAACACTACAAAAATAACAAACATCCTTTTTTTCCCAGCTAATATGAGCGGTAGCTGCTTCTCTATTGGTTACAATGTTTGCTTGAGGAAGCCATCTGCAGGGCAAAGTCTTATGTATGATCTTTCGGGCCTGACCACACACAATCACACAAACTTTAGCTGGCAGGCCTCATGGGGGGAAGCTGTCCTCCCAGCACTGGTGCTCAGCCAGTGCACTGCAGTCTCTGCAGGGAGGTGCAAGCAAGGACTAAATTCTAAAGGTGTCCCTCCTTATTCTCTCAAACACTAACCTAGGTGCTGCTATGAGAAACTCTGAGATGGAATTAAGGTCACTAATCAGAGGACCTTAAAATGGGATTAGCCTGGATTAGTGAGGTGGATTCAATGTAATCACACGAAACCTTAAAAGTAGAAGAGACAGAGAGAGAGAGAGAGAGAGAGAGAGAGAGAGAGAGAGAGGGCAAAGAAAGTAGAAGAGGGGTGTGGCATATGGGGAAGTTGGACAGGTTCTGAGTGTGAGAAGCAGCCAACCTGCAGGTACTGGCTCTGAAACATGTGGGCACATGTGCCAGGGGTTAAAGGCAGACGCCCCCTGCTCCCGCCCCACCATACCCACCCACAGCTGACAGCCAGCAAGGAAACTGAGACCCCTATCCTACAACATCAAGAAACAGAATTCTGGGAACAATTTAAATGGATTTACATACAGAGTCTTCTCCAGAGCCTCTAAGTAAGGAACTCAGTCCTGTCAATACCGTGGGACAGACCCATGTCGGACCTCTAACCTATGGAATTAAGAGATAATGACTTTACCATTACTTCTGTCCAGGCCATACAGGCTATACTCAAATCCATATATCTTGGGCAAAGAGTTTACTTTTTGGTATAGGTGCCATGCCAAGTACATGCCAAAGTTGGACAACCCTAGCTATTCTATCCCACAGTCTATCATATCCTTACCTTACAATCTTTCTGGAAAGCAACTGGAATCTCAAGAGTATTCAAGAATTCATATTCTTTGACCAAGATGTTCTCTTTCTAAAATTCTAAGGAAATAATTACTCTGATAAAGATTTATGTACAAAGGCATCCATCACAACACTTACACAGCAACTATGTGCCAGATGCTGTTCTAAGAGAGTTACAAAAACTAATTCATGTCATCTTCACGACAACCCCATGAGATGCATATTATTATCATCCCCGTTTTACTGCTGAGAAAGTAAGTGGCAGAGAAAAAATTCCAGCCCAAGCAATCTGATTCCAAAGTCTTTGCTTTTAACCACTAGTTTCCTCTAACAACAAAGGAATCGTTAGATAGTATGACACAGGCATAATAGAATATTATGAAAAACATTTAAAATGCTGCTTAGAGGTATATTAAATGGCATGGAGATATATACAGATGGTATATTAAATCTAATGGCATGGGAATTTACACAACAGTATACTGAATTTTTAAAAACAACATATATATACACACATGCATATGAAAATACCCCTTACTATGCTATTGAGATTAATTATATCTTAAAATTAATGTTACAGCCTTTATTATTAAGAGCTATGTACTATATCTGCTTTAATACATACACATAAAAGAATATTAAAATTAACTTTAAAAAGTCTATACATGGCCAAAAAAGTAAGATATACTCAATGTTAGTGAATTTATCTATAAAATAGAGGCTTACAAATCTTTTGCCACAAATTGTCATATGGATGATATAAAAACAAGTAGGGTTTTTTTTTTTTAAAAAATGATCAAGTTATTCTATGCTCAGATAACAGAGTTTTACTTTTATCACCAAAAGATTCTGTTAACTCCCTATACCGCTTATAAACACTTGCATGATCTTGAGAAAAAGTTCCTGTTTTAAAAAATTCCTAAAAATTATTGCTGTGTATTATGGTTCTAAAATATTGTTTAAAATACATGTATCTCCTGTTTTAAAAAGTAAGACTTGTCTTACCTGACAATCCTTAACTTTGTGTTTCCCTTATCATGCTCTACATTTAGAACAATAAAAATAAGACATCTTTTATGCCTAAACTATCTTTGGTTTTACTGGGATGGATACTAGGTGACGAAGATTTGCTCCTGTGTCTTATCAAAAAGTGGGACAATAGAAATAATAAGGGATTTTTGGGGGGTGGGGTAGGGGAAGTGTCATTCTCCAAATTTAATTAACAAAACTACTGTAAGAAAACTTTAAAGGTACAATCAAGGATGTTTCTAGTGCCTGTCCAACATGCCTACGATACAATCCTTACAAAACTGTAAAAATGAAGCAGGGATGTGAACCAAAGGATAAAGGCCCCTTTAAGCACCAGTAAATGGATTTTTTTGGTATAAGGAATGAGAATTGGGTAGAGCTTCATTTTTAACCTAAGGATGTTCAATTGTGTCAGTACCATTTGTTGAGGTTACACTTCCTCCAGTGAACTGCTTTTTCATCTTTGTCAAAAAGCTGTTGGGCATACTAGTGTAGGTGTATTTTGGGGTTCTCTATTCTGTTTCAAAGTTCTATGTGTGTCTCTCTCTCTGCCAATAACACAGATTAGTGATTACTGTAGCTATGTAAGTCTTAAAATCAGGTAGACAAATTCTTCCCATTTTATTCTTTTCCAAAACTGTTATTCTAGTTTTTTGTTGTTGTCGTTTGTTTTTGCCTCTCAATCTTTAACCTTGTCACTATCTAAAAAAAAGTTTGATAAGGAGTGTGTTAAATATGTATATTGATTTGGGGAGAAACGACATCTTTACTATGCTGAGTCTTCCAATCATGTACACAACAGATCTCTCCATTTACTTAGATTTATGCCTTCTTACATCGCCATTGCTATTTTCAGTAAATGTTTATTAGATTTACATCTAAGTATTTCATTTTATTGGGCAATTGTAGATGGTACTGTATTCTTTAATTTTTGGTGACTGTGTGTTCTTTGCTAGTAAATAGAAATGTGATTGATTTCTGTGACTGTGTATTTTATACCCTGCAACCTTGCTGAACTCACTTACGAATTCTGGGAGCTTCCTGTAAATTACTTTTTAATCCCTATGTAGACAGTCATGTCATCTTCAAATAAGGACAGTTTGATTTCTTCCTTTCCAACGCATATGCCTCTTATTTCCTTTTCTTGCCTTACTGCACTGGCTAGAACTTTCAGCACTTTGTCAAATAAGAGTGATAACAGCAGACATCCTTGTCTTATTACCAAAATTAGGGAGAAAGCATCACCATTGAGCGTAATATTAGCTCTAACTTTTTAAGAGAAGCATTCATCAAGTTAAAGAAATGCCCTTCTATTCCTATTTTTTCTGAACTTAAAAAAATAATGAATGAGCCTTGAATTTTGTCAAGCCTTTTCTGTACCAACTAATATGATCATGTGATTCTTCTTTACCCTCTTAATAGAGTGGATTATACGTACTGATTTCTGTATACTGAACCAGCCTAGCATCCTAGATATAAACCC